GGTTGCTTCAACGCCTCGGTGAGCCCGTCAGCGGAGCGGGGGGAGCCCGGCCCTGGCTCGGGTGTGCTGAGGGTTGGTCGGCGCTGCCGCGCTCTTGAAGCGCTGTGGTAAAGCTCTGGATTAGCGCTTAGGCCAAGTGCCCAGCCCAGCGGGTAGTTCTCTGCACTAGTGAAAGTTGTTTAGGCTGCTTGTTTGCCTGTTCAGGCCTGTAAATGTAGCAAAGCCTCTTCCTATGCTGCACACTCAACCCCTGGTTTGCCTTACAGGTGACCAAAGCGGTCAAAGCCGGAGAAGTAGACGCTAAGACCCGTCGCCAGATCTTTGATGCCATTGGATTCACATTTCCGAACCGCCTGCTCACCTCCAGGCAGCCCCCAGCAGGCTGCCCCCCACACACCTTCCGGGCACTGGGCCTTACTCTGTTGGCATGTTTCTGCACCGATCCAGAGTTAGCTGGTCACTCCCAGATCCTGAACAAAATCCCAACCTTCAATGACATCCTGGTTTCCCCCTGCAGTCCAGACAGCACGTCCATGATTGATGATGTATACCAGTGCCTGAGTGCTGTCTTGGCCACTACCAGGGGTCCCAGAGAGTTGGTGAACAAAGGGACAGTGTCTGCCCTGTGCCAGGCCTACCTGGATTGCAGTTATGGCTCTGACCGTGCTTTGACGCTGCTCTTGGGCCTGTTGGCCGTAGCAGAGGCAAAGTGCTGGCAGAGAGATGCTCCACACCTCCTGTCTGTGCTGAGTAAGCTCTCCGATGATTTTCTCAGGACTGAAGACACAAGCAAATTTGAGTTGTGTGAGATTCTGCCACGCTTCATCCCTCTGTCACCACCCTTCACAGAGGACTCTGAGGGCTGTGAGTGCCTCCATAGACTTTACAAAGGGCTGGCTGACATCTTGGGCAGTAAACTCAGCCAGTCACAGCAGGACCCTGCTCTGAAGCTTGCTGCCTGCCTCGTGCAGGCCTGTGGGTCGGAGTGGATCCCAGCAGGGAGTGCTGGAAGCAAGTTTCTGGCCTTACTGGTGAACTTGGCTTGTGTGGAGGTCCGCCTGACCCTAGAGGAGCCAGATCCCTTGGAGGTGGAGGGGAAGAAAGAGGTGGTAACAGCCTGCTACATCCTTATTGAGATGGGGATCCAGGAGTGCCTGCGAGAAGAGAAGCCACTGCTAGAAGAGGTGCAGAAAATGCAGCTCATGAGGATCATGGAGGAGGCCTTTGGAGCTGTGATATTCTACTTGAGACAGGTAATGCAGGGCTTTCAAGCAAAGAGCATGTTTTTGTGGGTTTCTCTGGGAGGCTTTGGATGCGTCATGGGTGCTCAGCAGCTCCTGGCCACAGCTGTGTAGAGCAAAATGTGCATCTTGGCCCACTGTGGTTTTTATACCTGCATTACCTCGATAGGACAGCGGCCCTAACCTGGCATTTTTTTCTGCTTTCCTCTTCATGCAGGTTAAACAGGAGGAGCTACAAGATCCTTTCATATTTGCTTCTGTTCGAATCCTTGGAGCCTGGATGGCAGAAGAGACATCCTCCCTCAAGCAGGAAATCTGTGAGCTCTTACCTTTCCTTGTTCATTATGCCAAGAAGCTTTTCAAAGAGGGCAGCCCAGCTGCAAGTCTTCCCCCGCCAGAGGTGGCCAGCACAGAGGGCTCTGGCTTACCCCAGGATGCTCTGAGGTATGTATTTTAAGCACAGAATTAATGCGTTTTAGCCCAAACCCACTCCAATCTTTTTCTATTTTCCGTTCTCCCTGCAGTGCCAATTCCATGGCTCTTTCCCCCCCCCCAGTTGGATGTAAATGCAGGGCTTAGACCCATTCTACCTCACGTTCCCAATTTATTTCCCCTTCCAGATTTCTGCTACCTGGTTTTTGCCATTTAACAGCAGAGGACAGGCCCCGGGACATCCTCATCGCAGAAGGGGCACCAGCACTGCTGTGCGAGTACTTCTTCCAGTTGTGGGAGGTGCTGACCTCCAAGCCTGGGTCCTTGACTCCGCTGACGAGCACTGAAATGAGCCTGCAGACTGCGTGCGGGATTTTCCTTAATCTGGTTGTGACTGCACCAGACCTCATCAGGTAACAGAGCCGCGGGAGCTGGCTTTAAGGTTGTCAGTGGGACAAACGAGGGTGCATTGTGAAATGAGCTTGCAGGATCTTTTAAGACATTATGCTGAAAAAGGGATGTCCCATTTTCAACACCAGTTACATTACTTTTTTGGTGCTGCATTTAACCTTGACATTTTCAGGTGCTTCTGGCTCTGCTCAGGGAATGTGTGTCTCAGGGTTTGCTTTCTCTCCAGGCGAGACAAAAGCTTTTCCTCCCTGATGGACATGTTGCTGAAGTCTCTTCCGCTTCTGCTGCCCCAGAAAGATCACCTGGTTCTAGCAGCCAACATTGCCACTCTG